TGGGGAGGCTTGTAATATGTAAAGTATTTAAAAGTTTTTTTCTAGCCCAGGCTATCAACACCTGCTAAATCTTATAATTTTGCCGGGGCCAGAGCCAGGTTTGCAAAAAGTCTCATTTTCAGCCAGGGGCGGGGGCGGGGCAGGGCCCAGGTTACTTAATAATCCTCTTTTGGAAAAAAATCTCTTCTAACCAACTTTTGTTTGCAAAGTTTGTAGAGTTTGTTCCCAGGAGCTATATTTAAGGTTTTAATCATGTGACATGTGACTCTTATAGTAACTACGACAAGAATTTCTGAAATTGAATTTCATAAAGCTTGTTCATAAATTTGTCTATTACTTTATTTTGTTATGTTTTAAAAATATAATAAAATAAAAATATAATAATAAATAATTAAAATTTTACAGCTATTTACTAATGATTTTTTTTCTTTTTGATTCATTGAATGGATCACAACAAACTTTCTGCCATATAGGTGGTAAGTGACTGGGGTAGATATTTGACCAGGGCCGGGTTTAATAAAATATAGTCGGGGCCGGGTTTGATAAAATATAGTCGGGGCCGGGTTTGTGACAGGGGCATTTATACATCCTAAAGTATAAATTTTTTTATTTAAAATTCATGTTATATTTTGTATATATATGCATATATGATCATAATCGTCATTACCATCATCATCATCATCATGATTATGATCATTCATCGTCATTATCGTCATTAAATCAATCAAATCAAATCAAATATATTTCAGAATAAAAGTCCTTACATCAAAGATATTTAGAAATAGTAATGAGTGAAAATAGTGATAATAACAACAATAAATATAATATAGATATCAATAATAGTAGCAATTATAAAAAGTTATACTGTAAAAGTACAACAATACTAATATAAAAACAACAATAATAACAGTAATAAAAATAATTATTATAACAACAATACACTAATGATAACAATAATAATTACTATAATAATAATAACAATATTATTATTAGTAATAGTTAAAAGTAGTTAATAATAGTAATGTAAATATTTATAAAAATAACAATAAGCAATAGTAATTTATTTAAAATTCATGTTGTATTTTGTGTGTATATATATGATCAACATGATCATCATAATCATCATTATCATCATCATCATGGTCATGATCATCATCATTATCATCATCATTTTTTTTTAAACATCTTCACTTCTAACAAGGCTGCAAGCAACCACTATTAGAGTTGGAAGTTACTGGAGAGAAAAGATGAAGTTTATAGAACAACATATTGATTAACAGACAACTTAAAAGATGGCAAATTATATGAATTATAATAAACAAAAAGGAAAACAAGATGAAGGAAGCGATTTCCAAAGAACTGATGTTTAAGGAAAAAAACTAGACAAAGAATTTTTAGAGAATTTTTACTTGTAAATTTAGAAAATATTAGGTTGTAAAAAAAAGTGTTTAACCGCAACTGAGTATTTTTTAAGGAAACAAATTGTTTTATTATCAAAATTTAAACTTTAAAACACTTTAAATTAAATATGATTTTTAAAATTTTTATTTAGTTTTGAAGGAATGTAAAATACATTTGCATTTTTTATTAAAGAAGTTTTTTTCTAATCATTTTCTAACTAATTCATTATGCAAAATACAAGTATATCCATCATAGATATCACAAATTGTTATATAAAAAATCATCATCATCAGGCTTTAGCCTTCCTCTTTATGTTATTTCTCTCACCATGGCCAATGCTCAAACAAGCTTTCAACTCTATTAAGATAAATCAAAACTCATTCTTGCTTGGCTTCAACAAGTTGCATCCTTTTACTGTATCTGTCCCTTCATGCTATAAAAAATTTTATTAATCCAGTTTTTTTTTTCTTGCACATCAAAAAAACTTTATAACTCTTACCCATCTTCATGCTTTTATTTTTTATACAACCTGCAAGTTTTTAATTCTTCAGTTAACTGTTTCTTACCTTTTTAACCTATCCTCTATTTTAATGTAACTCATAACTTAATAGTGGTTGCAACGTTGCTGAAAGGAAATTATAGTTTAAAATTAAATAAATATATGCCAGTATTTAGTTAATAGTAAATGTAAGTATAAAATTATAATATATAAAGTATTCTAATTTTTTTCTACCCCTGGCTATCAACCCCTGCTAAATCTTATAATTTTGCCAGGGCTGGGTTTGCAAAAAGTCTTATTTTTAGCCAGGATCCCGGTCACATCCTACATATAGGATACATTTTAAAATATTTTAAGTAGGTCTTTCACATAATATTTTTAAATTTGATAATTCAATGTTAATGCATAAATATATAATTGTTTTTTCTATATTGCTTCAAATTTTATAACATCTTGTTGACCTTTGCATGCCTCACATTTCATTAAGCCAATAGAAAACATCTTATTTAGATAATTTACTTAGTATGAACCATATTTAGGAAGTATTTCATAACAAAAATAATTAAATTTATCTTTCCTACTAGTTTTTTATGTAAAAAAAGGTTTTAAGTGTAAAAATAGTTCAAACTTTTTTAGATTTTTTCTTTAGCATGATGTTTTGCACTTAGAGATATTGTTAATTTTTATTTATATATACCAAATTGCTAATTTTTTATAATTCCAATACAATTTTACCAAATAATGTGGTTCTATAACTGAACTTTTTATGAACTATATAATTGGCAATATATAATAAATACAAATACAAATCTGTATCCAGGGTGGTCAGCGGTCCTTGGAAACATTAAAAACCTGGAAAAGTCAAGGGAATTAATAGATCCTGGGAATGTCCTGAAAAAACACCGTTTTTAGCAATAATTTCAGGTTATCTTGGAACTTTTATCTGAAATAGTTCTATATTTTGTTATCATGTTTTTATCTTTAGCAGGGTTATATAATTCCAATACAATTTTACCACTGAACTTATTATTTTGTGTAGATTTATACTGAATTTGATAATTATATATTTTCTGTAATGTAAAGTTTCTATTAAATAATTATCTACTAGTTGTTTAATTATTTTTCATATTTTTTTTAAATCAACATATTTTATTTTTTTCTGGTAGAAAAAAAATCAATATATCCTTAAAAAACTTTTCCTTAAAAATTCCTGGAGATATCCTGAAATTTTGAATTAGTAATTGGCTGGGCAACCTGGTATCCAGGCTTGGTCGGGAAGCGGGAGCGATTGCTCTCGATTGCTGACCACGTAAATATTATTTAGTTGTGAAAAGCTGGCCAGATTTTTTTTAGTCGTTTTGAGAACATTTTAAAAAGCAAAAAAAAAAAAAACGATTAATTGGACCAATGAGAGACAATTACAAATAAAAAAAATTAGGCAAATAAAATATCTTTAAACACGAAAAAACTTAAAGCTAAATAAATTACATTTAGAAATTAAATTATCAAGATAGAAATCAACTAAAAGGTTAAAAATACTTTATGGCGAGGAAGCGAAACTACTTCACAATATCGCTGATGATGTTTAGTGAGTGGGCTTTTTAATTTTAATTAGTATTTAAAGCAGAAAAAAGTATAACGAGTTTTAAGAATGCCAACTTAAGCAAAAATAATTAAAGTTAGCAAACCAATATCTAGAAACTTTTCTTTATATCTAATTATTTGCTATATATATTTGTGTTCTGTTGTGACCTCAGGCCCTGTGCTTGTTCATCCGCGAGTTACTTTGTATGCTTTGTTTGTGTTTAGTAACCAGAAACTTCTTATACGCTTGTTACATAATTAGTTTTATTAACTTTAACGGTTATAACTTCATTGAAAACACAATTATTTTTGTAAGTCTTTGTTTAAATTATAAAAATTGCTTTAAAAGATACATTACGATAAAAAACAAATATACAAAATTACATTTACATAAAGAATACATACTTTTTAAATAAAAAATAAGAATAAACTAATAAAATCTATAATTTATAATAAACTTTTAAAATTTTGACACTTTAATTAATATATATTTAAAACATTTATTTTTGTAAACAAATAATATATAATCTTAAAACAATTTATGCTAGAAATCTCAAAACGTAACAAATCGTGAATAATACAATTTCTAAAACATTTCAACAGAATACTCTAGAACTTTATTTTGCTTAATCAGCGTATTTTTTGAACCAATAGAATTAGTTTGTTCGTTAATTTGGCGGGTTTTTAGTGTTCGCGAATATTCTTTTTATTCTTTTGCACCAAGATGTTTTGAGAACATTCAAGTTTTTTATGTTTCCATGTATGTTTTCAAGTTTTTTATGTTTCCATGCAAAACAAAAATTTTTTGTTTTGTACATAAACTTAAATGTTCTCAAAACGACTAAAAAACCTGGCCAGTTTTTCGCAACTAAATATAATTTCCGTGGTCAGTATTTGAGAGTGATCGCTTCCGCTTCTCGACCAAGCCTGGGTATCACACTGGTATCTACTAGTTGTTTAATTATTTTTCATATTTTTTTTTTAAATCAACATATTTTATTTTTTTCTGGTAGAAAAAAAATCAATATACCCTTGAAAAACTCAAAGTTTTCCTTAAAAATTCCTGGAGATATCCTGAAATTTTGAATTAGTAATTGGCTGGGCACCCTGGTATCACACTTGGTCAGTTTTTATATAAAAACAAAACAAGATGTTTTTTAGTAGTTAAAATCATCAATTTTAATATGTAGTTATGCAAGACTTCCTTAAATATAGCATAGTTGTTTTTTTTTTCTTCTAAAGAGTCTATAAACCAAATTTAATTTACTTCATCAGAATTCAATCAACAAGTTTTTATTTATAATTTAAAAAAAAGAAGTGATAAATCTTTGAAATTATAGTTCTATATGTTACTGTTGTTTTTCCAGTTAGATTTTTGGTGACATGTAAGCAGGGCTTGTTTTAAAGAGTTACTCTGCTAACAATTTACATACACATAAAACTATTTTACATATGAGTTACTTTGTATGCTTTGTTTGTGTTACAAATACTAAAAAAATTTTTTCTTTTGATATAGATATTGCAAGTCTGTTAATGAAATCTTCAAAAAAGCTGAAACTTGTTATAAAAATGGAGACGATGAGGAGGCTTATATGTTATACATGCGTTGCTATATTATCTATAAAAAAATTCGAGAATCTTACGAGTTTAATAAAGAAAAGGTATTTATTTTTATCTGTTATATACTTTAATAGACAAAAATTATATATTTATATATATATATTAGCCCATCCCATAATTTTTTTTTTCGACAACCAATTTTTATGCGGAGTGACTAATGAGCGGCGTAGAGGTCATATTTATATAAAAAAAATTTATATATTTTTATTTTTACTTGATAAAAGTAATCACGCCGATTATTCGAAGTTTTGCTTTTTTTGTATTTAATTAAATTTAGGGCGATTTCCAAGCATTGGCGCCAATAGATTTTGATATCAAAACCACTTTTTATCATTTGATATCAAATGTTATTGATATCAAGTCTTTTCTTGATATCAAATCTCTTGATATCAAATTTTCTTGATATCAAAACCACTAATTTGTTCAACGGTGTTTTCTCTATGTGTTACTGTACCCAAAAAAACACTGTGTTTATTAATTTAAGAAATATCTTGTGCCTATCTTACTAATTATGGTAGATAAATTAACTTTTTGGCTACTGTAAAGTGATTTTTTGTTAATCTCTAGGCTTTTTTCCAGTCATACAACAAATTTTATAACTTTTGCCTCATTTTGTTATCAAATGATGTTTTTTTTTATCTTAATACTGGAGCCTTGGATCAAACAAATCCAAATTCAAAATGGTTTCCTTAAAAGATTGGGTAAATGATTTTCAATTTTTTATTGTAAACTAAACTAGATCAAAACATATCAATGTCATTTAAAAATATATATACAAATTTTTTCTGTGGTTATTTTAGCTCCAAGAAGACCAAATTGTCACATCACAGAGCATCGCAGAGGAACATTTAACTTGGAAGTTTATGCTTCCTTCATGTTGAAAAATTACCTAGAATAGGTGTTTGATATAAGTATAAACATTTTGTATGTTTATACTTATATCAAATAATGATGCTTTGTAAAATATTACGATGATTGGAAGCTGGAAACTAAAAAAGCCCTAATATTTTATCCCCACTGTCTCAAATGTGAGAGCAACAAGTTAGTAAAATAATTTTTTTGAAGTTCTAAACTTTGTTTATATTCATTGATAAAATTTAAGTTTCATAGAAATATCTCTCAGAGTTCATAAATTATAACTATATAAATTTTAAACTCCCCTCACTTTGAGGGGTTTACAAATTTTATATAGTCATAATTTTTGAACGCTTAGAGATTGTAAAACAATACTTAAAATTTATCAATGAATATAAATTTAGTTAAGATTAGCAAAAAAAATTATTTCATTAACTTGTTACTTTCACGTTTGGTGAAAGGGGATTATATTTTAGGGCTTTTTTTGTTCCCAACCTACAATTATTGCAATTTTTTAAAAAGCACCATTATTTGACATAAGTATAAACACAAATATTTCAAGTAATATCTCAAACACCAAAAAAAGCTAAATCCATCACTGCCATAGATCTCTTGTTTCTAAAGCAAGTTTGCTTCAGAATTTAGCGTTTAAACGTTGGAAATGTGCAATAAATATTCATATACATATAAATTTTCAGCTTAAGACAAATATCTCAAGAAAATATGTAAAAATAATTATTTTTAAATGTACTTTTTAGGTTAAGAGTTTGCAATTAGATATTGGATCAAAATTCAATTCATCAGAACCATCCAAAAACTAGAAAGCGAGGAAGCAATTGCCGTAGCTAGCTCCTTAAATCCACTCTTCTTTTTTAATGTTTTTTTTTTTTTTTACAAGATCTCTTTATTAGAAGTAGCTTCTGAAGCTTTTCCAAGCTTATCTCACGGTTTACATTATCTTGAATAAATTTTACTGTAAGCACAGCAAAATCAAATTTTTTATTATGAAATATTTTTCTTAAAACATGAAATACGTTTCTTGTTTTAAGAAATAAATATCCTACTCTGCATTTTATTTTTGAAATAAATTTTTTAAACTATGCTTAATAGATTTACAATTTTGGTGTGAGTTCTGATATGTTGTTAGCAACTTTGAAATATTTTAAAAGTTTTGAGATTCATTGTACCCAAAAGATCTGAGGAAGTCTCATCCGTAGACATTTTTCAAACTATAACTCAAGACCTAGGGGCTGGTCTTTATCAACAAAAACTGCTTTCAAAAGGATTTCAGTTTTAATCCTATCCTTTTTTATATCTTTTTAAACCTCCTTTTGTTTTTGAATACAGAACTTTTTACCATTTTTATATTGTGAACTCAGTCAAAAGATGCTAACACCAGCACCAAACACCTCTATCGTTTTACCATAATTTGAATTTCACCTCTGCAGCAGACTCAATATACATCTGCCAATAGTCTTGTTGATCTTAAAAGTGTAAATTAAAAACAATACAATGTAGATAAAATAAAGTTTAAAATAGGGCCTTGTGAATCACCTTTTTTAGTTTCGAATCAAATCACAATTCAAAATAGGCCTTGATTCGCAAATCCAATTGAATCACGAGTCCAATCAGCATTTTGAGGAAATCTAAGTTTAACTAAAACATTAGTATCCTCAAAATGCTTTTTTGATTCAAGATTCGATTGGATTTGCGAATTAATTTCTACTTCGATTCGTGATTTGATACCAAAAAAGGTGATTTGCAGGGCGGTTGTTTAAAATGACATTGCTAAATACTTATGACATTTATTTTTGACTAGATAAAATCGAAATTTATTATATTTTTATTAATCTATTTTTATTATATTTCTACTGATTTAAAAAAAAATCTGTCTAAATTTGTTTAGAGTTTTTTTTTTTTGAATTTTACATCTGATTTTAAACTATTGTTTTTAAGCAATTTGTTACTTAAATAATTCTTAAGTAATAAGACTAAAATATCAAAATTTATGAAATTAAGTTTTACTTTAAAAATTGCAGAATCAAAAAAGTAGCAGGTCAAAAACCGTGATTCCCTGGAAAGAAAAATTTAGTCAGTCACTATATTGATCTCTTTGAATATTTTATTACTCAAAATAAAAACCTGTCTGATTTTTGAGAAATGCAACTTGAATTTCATGAAATTCAAGGCGTGTGATTTTCAGCTCCATTTTTGATTGATTTTTTCCGCAAGTTCACAATAATCTCTGTTCTTCTTAAAAGTCTATATGTAAATAATTTTAAAATTAGAAACTTATTCATTTTGTTTTTGCAAAAAGGTATTTTAAAGTGAAGCTGTTTTATCTTTACTATACTATTTTTTAACCTTTTATACTTTTATGATATAAGTAGTTTATTCCCCAGTTTAACAGTTTAATTTATGGCTATGGCTGTATGAAACTCTCTGACATGATAGGAGGAAGTTAACAAGAATAATGGTCGGCTAGGAAACTTAGCTAACTTTGTATTCCTTTTAAACAGCCAGGGCTTGAAGTGAGTGAACTGTATGAGATAAAAAGCATCTAACCAATTTCTAATTACTGTATATTGGGCCTCAACGCTATCGTGTTTAAAAACCACATTTTTTTAATTTCATATCAAATTTGTGTGTTTTTAAAATACCACTAGTTAAAATAATAGTAATAAAAATGCGCACACTCGGTATAGAAAAAATAACTTCCATTACTTGTAATGATGTTATTATATAGTTAATGATTTGTAAACTTCTATTTGCGCCAATTTTTTGAAAATGCCATAAAAACTCAAAAAATTTAAAAATTTTAAACTTTAAACGAATGGCGCAAGTATAAATAGTCATCTAAAATAAAAAATAAAAAAATTTCATTAAGAAAACAATACCTTGGAATTATTTTACGACACTCTGCATATTAAAATTTGTTCATGAGGGTCAAAATGGGATGGGCTAATATATATATATATATATATATATATATATATATATATATATATATATATATATATATATATATATATATATATATATATATATATATATAAGTATATATATACATATATATTTATTTATATATATATATATACAAGTATATATAAATATATATATATACATATATTTATTTATATATATTTATATTTATATATATATAAACATAGATATTTATATGTAAATATATAAATATATTTATATATATATATATATATATATATATATATATATATTTATATATATATAAATATAGATATTTATATATATATATATTTGTATATATATATATATATATATATATATATATATATATATATATAAGTATATATACACACATATATATATATATATATATATATATATATATATATATATATATATATATATATATACTTATATATATATATATATATATAGATATATATATATATGTATACTTATATATATATACATATATATATATATATATATATATATATATATATATATATATATATATATATATATATATATATATATATATATATATATATATATACTTATATATATATATATATATATATATATATATATATATATATATATATATATATATATATATATGTATACTTATATATATATACATATATATATATATATATATATATATATATATATATATATATTTAAATATATATAAGTATATATTAAGTATATATAAGTATATATATACTAAATATATACTTAGTATTAGTATTAGTTTATGCTGTGACTGGTATTGATACCAGTAAGTGTGGTTTTAAGCACACTAAGACAGCTGAATCCCGTGATGGTTTGACTCCCATCGATCAAGTTTTGCTTTGAATGAATTCGTTGAAGTAGCCCTGACAATATTTTCCGGCAGTGCATTCCAATAATTTGCAGCTCGATTAAGCAAAATATTTTCTCTATACTTATGTACTGAAAATTCTTTAGAATATTTCAGGCTATGGTTACGAGTAAAATTTGATTTAAATGAATAAATTTTTTTAAATTCAACTTTATCATAACCTTTGAAAATTCTATATAGTTGTATAATGTCTCCTCGTTATCTTCTTTTAATAAGTGAGGGTATTTTAAGATAAGCAAGTTGATCTTCATAGCATAATTTACTGATTTGAGGTATTAGTTTAGTGGCACGACGCTGTACTTTTTCTAAAATGAT